CCTGCTGAAGCCAATGGGATTTAGTCGCACGACAGAATGAATTCCCTGAAACTGTGCAGCAGCAGTTGAAGTGTGAATAAAGCCAGTGTGTTTGTGTCTGCAGGTCGTGTGTTTGTGAACACCCCGGACACAGCCTGTGTGGTCGGCCTGTACAAGAAGGTTCTGACCTTCAGTCCCGTCACTGAGCTGAAGCACCAGACGGACTTTGAGTGAGTGACTCTAACAATTACACACAGAACACACAGTTCTTTATTTGTCACATACATCTTACGTATGTGTGATATAATGTGCAATAACAAACAGAAACAATAACGTTTTAAGGAAATACACACACAGTATAAGTAATAGAATGTAATAAGCTGTCAAGAAATATGTGAAAATAGAATATAGTAGAGAAAAAAGAATAAAGTAGATATTTTATGCAAAATATACTAAACTATATAATGTAAACAGTAGGCTTACAGTGTGCAAAGTTTATTTTATTAGATTTTTTACTGTGCATACTACATACTAGATACTACTTCCACAACCAGTTAATATCAACCAATAACACCATAATTTTCAAGCAAAGATGTACTCATCTTAAAAAAAAATTTCCTTATAAAAAAAAAAATAACAGTGTAATTTTAGTATCAGTTATATTTTTGTTAAAATTTTGAATTAGATTTTATTTTTATATTTTCTGCTTTCACTGTAATTTGAACGTTTTAGTAATTTTAGTATTTTTGTCAATTTTATTAGTTACTTTTAAATGTGTCTACATAGTATTATTTTTTATTAGATTGATTTAAGCAAAGATATACTAAACTTTTTCCTCATTAAGAATTTACTTATTTTAGTATCATTTATTTACTATTATAGTTTTTATAATTATAATATTATAATTAAAACTAAATATATAATTATAGTTTTTTATATTTTGAAATAGATTTTATATTTTCTGCTTTCACTTTAATTTTAGTAACTTTTAGTAATTTTGTTGTATGTTTTTGTCATTATTATTAGTTTTTTGTTTTTTAAATATCTATATAGTATTTTTTATTAAGTTAAACTAAATGAAAATGAGAAATGTTGCCTTGACAAGTAGCTCACATCAAATGTTTATATATACATATATAATTTTATTTAAGTTAAAGTTTATTATTTCAAGTAAAAAATGATGCACATTCTTATGAGATGAAGAAAAAGCTGTTTTATTCAATTTGCTACTACTACTAATAATACCACTTTCTATAGTGCTTTTCCAGTTCTCGATGTATTTTACAAACAGTAATAGCAGGCTCCGTCATATGACATACTTTACACATACATAATGACAGGACAAACTGCTATCAGTAAAGCGTTCCTCTCGCCCTGCAGACACCGGATGCCCAAGACGCAGTGGTGGCTGAACTTCAGACTCATGCTGAAGATGTTGGCCAAGTATCAGACGCCCTTCAACGAGTACGTGACGGGAGAGATCGAATACGTGACCCGCCGCTCTCTCAGCATAGACACTGGCTTCTAAAACACACCAAACTGCCACTCCTCCATTAAAACCGGTAAACGCCTGATCCTTTAGTGAGTAAAGGAGGCTAAAACTCCAGATTTGTGCCTAAACCTGATGCATTCGAGTCCTGCATTTGCACCATGTTTACGCTGAACTCATGCAGTGTCAAAACTAGATCACTCCTGTTATAATAGAACGGTTTCCTGATAAGTTGACAAATTATTTTGTTTGCAAATATCGTATGTGTGAATAGATCGCTATGTATTTGGACCATTTCATCAAATCCAGCTTCTGATGTTTCTGGTCTTCAATTAAACTCACATTGTTTCTAACCATATATATACTGGGGGCCAGAAGTTTGAAATTATTAAGATTTTCAAATGTTTTTGAAAGAAGTCTCTTCTGCTCACCAAGGCTGCATTTATTTGATGAAAAATACTGTAAAGTTTGCATGATAGGACTAGGTGTTACGATCCCAATATTCAGCACCATTTAGCCGCACCATAGAACATTTTCCCTTCACTGTGAGCACTGTGAAAATAGTAAAATATTATTATAACTTAAATGAACTGTTTTCTATGTGAATCATATAGTAAAATATAATTTATTTCTGTGATTAAAGCTGAATTTTCAGCATCATTACTCCAGTCTTCAGTGTCACATGATCTTCAGAAATCATAATAATATGCTGATTTGCTGCTCAAGAAACATTTCTGATTATTATCAATGTTGAAAACAGTTGTGCTGCTTCATATTTTTCTAGAAACCGTGACACGTTTGTTTTTTTAGGATTCTTTGATGAATAGAAAGTTCAAAAGTACAAAATTTTGAATCATAGGCCATGCTTTTGAATGGTAGTGTATCACAATTTTCATAAAAATATGAAGCAGCACAACTGTTTTCAACATTGATAATAACAGGAAATGTTTCTTGAGCAGCAAGTCAGCATATTAGAATGATTTCTGAAGATCATGTGACACTGAAGACTGGAGTAATGATGCTGAAAATACAGCTTTGATCACAGAAATAAATTACAGTTTAAAATATATTCACACCGAAAATAGTTATTTTAAATTCTAATAATATTTCACAATTTTACTGTATTGTGTTTATGCACCTGTTTATGCACGATGTCAGTATGTAAAATTATATTGCTGTTCCAAAACAACTAATGCAAAGTACATTTAGCATTTTCTTTCATGGTGTAATGCAACACCAGTCACTACCAGTGAAAACACTGTGTTATACTTTATACTAAAACTGCTGCTGTTAGTAGATAATTCAATCAACTCAAAAGTTTCTATAGAATTCCCTGTTATACTCTGCCAGATCTTTATTCCAGCAGCTTTCCATAAGGGAAATGGTTTGATGTATCGTGATGAAGCACAGGTGGTGATTATGAACCTGGTGCTTTGATTGTTAAATGTTTGAACATGTATCCTGTAGTTGTGAGCTTCAGTAACATGACTGTTATATTGTGTGCCTATGCAGTGTGATTAGTGTGAAGCAATAGATAATTCTAGTGCAGCATGTTTTACTTCTCCAGTATTTAATACTCTATATTATATGGAAGCCTGAAAGATGTTTAATTATCAGGAAAATAATGTCACAATGCAATAATTATAGCTTAATTTTCTTTTTGCAAAACATAATTTTTCTTCTGCTTTTGGGGTGAAATATGGCCTGGTGTGGCCGGTTGGATAAACTGCTTAGACTGATTACATAAACATAGATTGTTCTAACTTGAATGCGAAAAGTAAACATATTATAGCTTGACTAACTGACTAACTTTCCTAAAATACAGCCTTAAAACAGTGGCCGTGTTTTATGCAACTTTTGTGATTTTCACCTCAGAGCATTTCAAACTTCCATCTTTAGCAGTGTTGCATATTGGCCTTTTTACATTGTATTACTGTCAACCATTCTGAGATTGTCTTGCTGACATCTCTGTAAGTGTGCAGTGAGTTATTCACTTACAGTAGTGTTTCTGTCTATACATGTAAGCCATAAAAACTACATGTAAAATGAATGTAATGATGCAGCCGGATGTCATATTAAAAGGACTGTCCTGTCATTTAAGAAAAATATATAATAAAAAGATATATTTAAAATACTTTGCTTTGTTGTAAGTAGCAGGAAAACAAATAGAAAGACTTTTTGAACTTTAAAGTCAATTTTGTTAAGTGTTGTTTTCATTTATATAGCACCAAATACATTTAATAAGAACATTCATTAAACTAATATTCCTAATTTTCTATTAACTATAATGCATGTATTTTAGTATACACATATTAAAATTACATCTGTAAATAAGATATTGTGAATCATATGCTGAGCGAAACAAATTAGAACAAAACGACAAATCTAGAATATAAAATGAAACTTTAACAGACTCTAACAGACATTTGAACACATTTCTGAAGTACAGCTGTAAGGTGGAAATTTATGTTAATGAAGTTACATTTTTCCAAAGCTGAATGAAAATGGAAATGAATCCGCAGATCCTGCCGTGTCCTGTGTGGAAGAGTTCTGCCGAGGGCTCTCCGTCCCAAATGAGAAGGAAAACTCCTCTTGACGACTCTCGGCTTCATCGAACAGGAAACCTTGCAGAGAAACAAACCGTATTAATGGGTGTAAATGTGCATAAAAATAGGTTTAATCTTGTTTAGGCAAAATATATATTTGATACATTTCTCTGTGTTTGGTGTGCAATGTGTCCTCAGAAAAAAAGGTACAAAAGCTGTCACCGGTGGTACCTTTTCAAAAAGTACAATTTTGGACCTTTTAGATACTAATATGTACACTTTAGCTACAGATATGTTCCTTTACGGTTCCATTATGGACCCTTTAAGGTGTACCTTTTGAAAAGGTACCACCCCAGTGACAGCTTTTGTACCTTTTTTTTCTGAGAGTGTGGCTGTGTTCTTGACAGGTTTTGATGTTAGATATTCATACTTCAACTGAGAACTTGGGTGCTGATCCTGGTGACTTCTTTTACCAGAAACACAAAATCAGCTTTCAGTCATTTAAAACGTTCACCAATTAAGCACAAACAGAAATACCTTGTCGCTGAAATAGGAGCGTGTGAAGGTAAATGGAGATGCCTACAACACACAAACACACAGACAGATGAAATGATGAAACTCTCTGTGATGAATCAATGCATGTGCCGGTCTTCCAACTGCTGAAGTTCACCTTTTCTGCAGCAAAATCACAGCCCAGCTTAGAGAACGCAGGTGTGCTTGGACCAGAATTCATGGAGAAGACAAAAGCGGGCGACTTGGTGTCTGAGATCTCCTGCCGTACAGGTGAGGAACTGGGACTGTTGCTGTTGTTAACAGATCCAACAGTTATCAGTCTCAAACTAGTACTTTCTCTTACTGTGAAGGATTTAACATAAATCTCCTTCTATGCTTCTTATTTCATTATTTCTAATATCCCTCCTGTTTTAGCTTTTTACTATTCTGAACAGTGTTTGAAACGTTATATTGCTAGCATTTCTCAAGTTAATGCCAACTTAAGATGAATCGCTTGTTATATTACTCATTTGGATAAAAGCATCTGCTAAATAAATAAATGTACATGTAGATGCATCTCTGAGAAATACATGAAGTAAAATGGGTTGCAAACATTGACTTTAGACTAATGTAATTGACAGTTTGCAACATATAGAGTACGCTTCATCATAAACACTGATGAATGGGGTCGTACTTTAGAGAGAAGATGGGGGTGGTCGGTGTGGCTTTTATTCTAGCCGGTGTTGGAGGAGGACAGATGCCACCCTCGCTCTCTGTGTCCTCCTGAACATCTGCTGTGGTCGCCTCCAAATGATCCTCCTCCTTCTCTGACATTTCCACCATGAGCTCAGAAGCACATGAAACATTCATATTCCCCTCCTGCATTCAATCAAACAGGTATTATAAGAATATCTACATTGGCGGTTAAACGTTTGGACTAATTAAGATTTTTTTCATGTTTTTGAAAAAAGTCTCTTTTGCTCACCAAGGCTGCATTTATTTGATCAAAAATACAGTAAAAATTGTGAAATACTATTATAATTTAAAACAACTGTTTTCAATGTGAATATCTGTTCAAATGTAATTTATTTCTGTGATCAAAGTTGCATTTTCAACATCAATACTCCAGTCTTCAGTGTCACATGATCTTCAGAAATCATTCTAATATGCTGATTTGCTGCTCAAGAAACATTTCTGATTATTATCAGACAGTTGTGCTGACACATATTCTTGTGGAGACCGTGACACACTGCCATTCAAAAGTTGGGGTAAGTAAGATTCCAACAAACAAACAAAAAAGGAAAATAAATTATTATTACTTTTCAGCAAGGACCCATTAAATTGATCAAAAGCGACAGAACAGACATTTATAGTTTTCAAATAAATGCTGTTCTTTTGAACTTTCTATTCATAAAAGATTCCTGAAAAAAAAAGTATCACGGTTTCCACAAAAATATCAAGCAGCAAAAACACTGATGCTAAGCATTTTAGCATTGATAATAATCATTATTAATACTTGAGCACCAATAGTAATTGATAATAATTAAGCAACAAATGAGAATATTAGAATGATTTCTGAAGGATCATGTGACACTGAAGACTGCAGTAATGATGCTGAAAATACAGCTTTGATCACAGAAATATATTTTTGACTAAAGACTTCTTTTAAAAACATTAACATTTCTTTTTGACCCAGTTGTCTGAGTGATTATTGTGTTTCATCTGTATCCGTTCATTCACCTCCTCTGACTGCTTCGGATCACCTTCTTGCATTTGATCTAAAATGAAAGGAATACTTGATTGTTATTGGTCAGTCGGTGTGCTCATTAGGGTTTATTTTGTGATACCCTCCATTCATATTAATATTTGCTCGTGTTTACCTTCTCCAGTTTTGTTCTTTGTCCATAAGTCGTGGCAAAGTGTGTCAGTTTGAGATTCACTTTCTGCTATTTTATCCTTATTCTCCTCAGAAGCATCTTCAGCAACCATGTGCTCATCTGCATATTCTTCAGGCCTCTAGGAGTTACAGAATTGACAATGCCTTGTTTCGACATCTTCATTTTTCAATAGAAGTCAACCAGTTGGAATATTTCTCAATTCTTATTCGAGTAGATGTAGTGAACAGCAGACGTACCTGCATTATGGGGTCCATTTCATCAAACGACTCACTGTTTTCAGTTTGTGGGGCGTCATTGTCTTTACACTTACTAGAAAGAATGTTAATTAGATGAATGCAACTAACATGACAAAAAAACAAATCTGCTGGGAAGATAAAATACCTGTCAGCAGCATCAGTGTCTGGCTCATCCTCACCTATCGAAACACAAGATCTGTATTAATAGAAATAGTGCACTTAAACATTAATTATGTGTTTTTTGTTTTTTTGGATGCACTTGGAAACAGGTGAATTACCCAGTGCTGCCATCAGTTCTCTCTCTTTTTCCAGAATCTGTTCTTCCATTGCTCTGATTCTCCTCTCGATTTTCTCTTTCTCAGCTTGAATCTTCAGCAGTTTTTGAGCCAGTGAGTTCTGACAGTATCGATCTTTATACTGCTGAAACACGTTCCTGTAGCTCTCCATTCTCTCCTGGAAGATTTTCCTTCAAAGACCAAGCATCTTTAACCCTATAAGCCTACTGTATTTTATTTGATACATGCTTTTCTAAGGCCTATAAATTCTATGATTGCTGAAAAACCTGTTGCATGCCATCTACTACATGCCTACTGCTGTCTGATTAATTATACTTGTTTGGCACAAGCTTGTGCGTCACGTGTCTTTTTGCTGTGAAATCTTTACTGATTTATATGAAGACGTAAGAATTAGTAGTAATATTTCAAGATGAACATTTACTGGACTCAAGCAACTTACATTTACTTGATTATACATACTACACTTTTTAGAATAATCATGTTAAAATGTTGACTTTACGTCTTGGGGTCTCAAATATGATCATCAGACGTTTATTTGTTCATCTCTCAATCATTGTATTGCATTGCATTATTTGTTTTGAAACTACAGAGCTTTAATCATCAAACTAAGCATTTAAATATCATCTTACTAAGACATTATTGGAGATATAGAGTGATGACTCATATTTATATCATTTTATGTAAGTATCTGATATACCTTTATAAAGATCTCATTGATTTATATTATAAGCATCAGAATTTCATCTTAATTTTTGGCCATATGAATATCAGCAACTGCACCAAATTGCATATTTTTGCTCAATTTGGGCCTCTGAATAAAATTAAGGCGTTTTCCCTCCATATTCTCACTATATCATACTATATTATGAGCAGAGCTGGGTAGATTACTTACAAATTGTAATCCGTTACTGATTCCAAATTACATGACAAATATTATAGTCAGTAACGTAATCCATTACATTACACATTTTAGGTAATAGATATATACAGTGGGTACGGAAAGTATTCAGAGATCAAAAGGGTGCTTCTACTAAATACTGAGCAAAGGGTCTGAATACTTAGGACCATGTGATATTTCAGTTTTTCTTTTTTAATAAATCTGCAAAAATGTCAACGATTCTGTGTTTTTCTGTCAATATGGGGTGCTGTGTGTACATTAATGAGGAAAAAAAATTAACTTAAATGATTTTAGCAAATGGCTGCAATATAACAAAGAGTGAAAAATTGAAGGGGGTCTGAATACTTTCCGTACCCACTGTATATAATCAGACTACTTTTTGATTACTTTTGACCTAACTCGTTTATCACATTGATTTAAATAGGATTATCTTGTAACATATTGATAGAAAAAGAACAGCCTAAATGTTGTTATTTGCAACATGAAGTGCATTAAACATTTTATTACATCAAGGTTTCCCAAACTGGGGTTCATGAGGGAACTGCAGGGGCTTTGTGAGTTTAATGAAAAGCAAATAATGAATTAAATCATAAAAAGGTCAAATGAAAATAAATTATTTTAAAATAACATCAATCAAGATGTATTTTATTTTTTTTACCTGCATGTCATGTGACCATTAACCAAGGTCAGAGAGCCGTGAACATGAAAATGTGATACTTAATTATTAAAATAATTATTTTAAAATCTCAGAGGTACTTCAAGTAAAAAATATTAGGTGAAAGAGGTTCAGCTGACAAAAAAGTTTGGGAATGCCTGCATTACATGTGAATAAGAAATAACGTGAATCTTGTGTCTGAAAGACAAAAGCCTTCCAAAGACATAATAATACATGATTAAATAACCCTCTGATAATTCAAATAAAAATAAACGTGTTCATCAGTAGTTGATGCAATGTTGAAATGCTAAGAAAACACTTCTTAAAACTAAAATGATTTTTGTAAATCCAGTGGTCAAATGCTGTGAAGTCACTGGTCTTTGTGTGAATGTCCACAAAACTGGACTTTCTGAATGTATAGAAGCGGTAGGCTGTTTTAGAAAGGAACATTTAAAAGATGAAAAAGAGGAATTAGGGAGAATCAATAAATTATGATTTTTTATTTTTTTTGCTATTGTGTGAATAATATGTAATCAATAAAAAAGTAACTGTAGTCTGAGTACGAGTATTTTAAAATGTAATTAATCTAATTACAAGGAATCTGTTTACGTAATCCAGATTACATGTAATAATCAGTTACTACCCAGCTCTGATTATGAGCCATAAAATCCTGATGTGTCAAATATGATACTCAAGAGCAAACACATATGCAGACTTTTTCATATTTTGTCTAAAGGTTCAATAAGCTGTTCCATTTTAAAATAAACGATTTTTCGGACTATTATTTCTTAGGCTTTACAGGCTGGACCTACATGTCTTGATTATAGCTGTCCTGTCTCTTCTCTAGCTCGGCTTCCAGCGTCTTTTCATACTGAAGCAGCAGATGTCCTGTTCGCTGATGACTGATATCAGAACAGTGGTATTTATATTATAGTATATTATACTCAGTTTTAATATTTGAGATTAACCTCCTGAGACCCTGCATCCTCATATGAGGACATCATATTTTAGTGAATTTCTCTGAGACGTTACATGCCACAGTTTTAAGTCTGGATGTCCTGTACAGAGCACATTCAGGGCTTTTCAGAGATACTAAATGTTTGGATGTTTCACCATGACCACCCCCTCTCCTTGGTCTTCAAAAATGTCTGATATTAATTTAGTGACACTCTTATGGAAATATGATAATGTTTTGTAATTGTCATTTAAATCGGACACATTTTAAACTGTGTGTCATAAATCAACATCTCAGGAAAATGTTATGGGGTTTCAAATCAAAATATGACTTTCTGTTACGAAACAGGACGTTTCATTTCATACATGTCCTCATATGAGGACACCGGGACTAAAAGCATGTTTATTACGCATTTTGGGAGACACAACAAATGAACAGGGAAAGAAATTATATTTCAATATTCCTATGAAATATTATATATTATTATGAAAATCTTGTCAATTATTACTCTCAATATTACACTTCTTTTTTCATTACATGTTGCCCCAAAAACACATAAATATGCAAATTAGATTTAGTTTATAGATACATTATATATAATGAGAAAACCTGTTTGTGGCCATTTTACACACATTTTGCATGAAGAAAAATGGTATAATGTTATAACATAGTTGAGAATTATCTTTATACAAAGTTTGGTAAAAAAAAATCCTGAGAACTAAAAAAGTATTGGTGATTTAAAAAAAAATCTATTGTTTTTGCCTATGCATGTTTATTCATGTCTTTTTTTTTTTTTTTTTAATAAATTGAGTCCCGATGTCCTCTACCAAGGACGTAGCATAACTTATGAATGAAATATCATTATTTAAAATTTTTTTTTTTGTTTACATTTTTTTTAATGCTCTAAACAATGCAATGACATCAAAAAATGCCATTTTTTTCCTAAAATGTTTTGCCGGGTCTTAAGAGGTTAAGAATACACACTTTGCCGTACTTTTTAGTGTTTTCTCTGATAAACCTCGAAGTGTTTTGTTTGTGCTGGATCTCCTCACTGAGTTTGCTGATGATCTTGTGAGCTGTGCCACTGTAATCCTTCTTCTCCTGAATGCTGGACTCACAAACTAAAAACACAAATGATGACATTTTGTTGTTATTTCAATGTGAGTGATTCTTCAATTAGCAGAATGTTTATCCTTTTCAAGTTGTTTCCACTCTTTTACAAACATAAAAAAAAACCCCGTTCTATCTGTTCTGTCCTGTTTATTATTTTATGCATAATAAAAAAAATAGTTTAGCTTACTAATAAATGTATTTTTTATATATTTAATATAATATATAATAATTATGGTATTAATTTAAATTAATATATAATAATTGTGGTATTTGGTAAATAAAAAAATAAAAATACAAAAACAGAAAAAATTAATTAAATTAAATGAAGTATTTGGTTACCCTGGCGTGTGACAGGTCGTTTTCTGAATAAATAATTCAAGATTTGGAGAGCTGCAGATTTGACCATGTAACATCAAACATTTAATTAATAACATATTATATGCAATTTTGTATTTACACTAATTTATTATTTTACTTAATTCGCATTTATTAATTAAAATTAATTATTTTAAATAAATAAATGCATACTTAATATACAGACGCTGAGCGTCATTGCTTTAACTGGGGGAGAGGCTTCGATTGATCGTCATCTGATTGGACGAGACAGACGTTCCAGATTCAGTGGGCGGGGCTTGCGCATCTATATGGCTTCTGCTGTTGGGCATCAAAACCAGCTGAGCGTTTTCACAGCTGTTCTTTCATGTATTTGCAACTGGAAGGTAAGAATGCAGTTATTATGAATTAAGCAGGAGTCTCTGGTGGTTGTGAATAAGACGTTTGTTACAGTAGATCCTGGTTTGGGTGTGATAACCCAGCTGAGAGGAAAACAGCCTCTGCCTGGAGCTCAAGCTTTACTGTGCACTGATTCAAACTAAACCGTGATCTCAGATATTAAAATTCAGTTTCAGATGCTGTTTTATTAAAACACACTCTTCTCATACTCATGTATGTCTGTTTCTCTGACAATAGAGCTGAATGGACGGAAGGAAGGGTGTTGTTGGCTACACAAAAGCTATTGTACCTACATGTCAGTGTTATTTTAATATTTTTATATAATTTTTTAGCATTTATTAATATTTTGAATTAGCTTTTATTTTTATATTTTCAGTTTTCGGTTTAAGTTTTAGTAATTTTGTGATGTGCTCGTTTTGATTTGTTTTATTGTTATGTGTTTGTTGTGTTAATGTTAATTATTTTAACATTTAAAAAATATTGGTTTTTAACAAATATTTATATTTAGCTTTAATTTTGCTTTATTTCAGTTTTAGTCATTTTAATACTTCAACCTAAACTTATTTTTATTCCAGTTGGTTGTCAAGGCAACATTTCTAATTAGTGATTTTGTTATGCCTTTGTCATTTTCTTTAGTTTTGATTTTTCTATTTAGCTTAAATGTAGTTTTATTTCAGTTTCAGTAATGTTAGTACTTTAACCTAAACTTTTCTAATTAATTCCAAAACATTTCTAATTTTAGTTTTTTTTGTGCTTTTGTCATTATTTTTTACAAATATTTCTAATTAGTTTTACTTTGTTTTAGTAATTTAAGTACTTTATCCTAAACTTTTCTAATTAATTCCAAAACATTTCTAATTTTAGTTTTTTTTGTGCTTTTGTCATTATTTTTTACAAATATTTCTAATTAGTTTTACTTTGTTTTAGTAATTTAAGTACTTTATCCTAAACTTTTCTAATTAATTCCAAAACATTTCTAATTTTAGTTTTTTTGTGCTTTTGTCATTTTTATTTGTTTTTAATATTTCTATTTAGCTTTAAATTATTTTTAATTGTTTTAGTAATTTAAGTACTTCATCATAAATTTTTCCAAATAATTCCTAATTTTGTAATTCATTCCAAAACTTCAATTTCTAATTTTAGTTTTTTTGTGTGTGTGTGTGTGTGTGTGTTTTTTTTCTAATTTTTATTTGTTTTTAATATTTCTATTTAGCTTTAATTTATTTTCATTTGTTTTAGTAATTTAAGTACTTTCAACTAATATTTTTATTTTAAATTTTTAGTTTATTTCAATTAACAAAAACATTTTTAATAGTTTTAGTTTTAATTAGCAATAACAACACTGAGACACATCCGCTATTATTGCTCAGGAAAATAAATAATGTTCATTTAATAGTGGGGCATGTTGTCACAACGTGAACCTGCTATTACACAGCAAATATATTTATAACTTGAAAAAATATGCAACATCTTGCCTCATAATTAATAAACTCTTATATACTCTCTTGTATACATTTATATACTTTACCTGTTGGTCAGGCAAAATAATGTCATTTTTCCCTTATTTTCCTGTTTGAGTGAATGCATGCCAAAAATCAACTGTGCATCATGTTTCTCTCTCATTCGCAGAGGCTTATCATGTTTGGATGGAGTAAATAGCGTTCTCTAGTCTCTCTGAAGTTGTAGCTCCTCCCAAATCTTGTGAGACACTAACATGGAGCAGCTCAGGTCTGAAAGCCCTCAGCTGGAGTCTGTAAGGTCAGAGGTCTCTGAAGGGCAGGTGGATGAAGGAAGCAGCGGCACTAGCACTCGAAGGAAGAGGAGAAAGCGAGAACACCGGCCGGAGTCCATCATCGTCTACCGCTCTGATCCAGAGAGAGCCGCTGGTGAAGACCATGGAGGAGATAGTGAGGGTGGAGAGAGGAACTCTGAAGAGGGAGCTACGTTTCTGAACAACCCCAGCAGTGAAGGTGAAGCATGCAATCTCATGCAATCTAGTAAGAAAAGGATTTGGACACATAAGCCACTTAGCAATGTCTTTCCATTATAAAACAAAATATCAAAGTAAGCTCACAAAAATAAGTCTGTTTGGTTCCAAATTATAGATCAATACACAATATACACTGCCTGGCCAGTCACCATTTGGATTTAAGTAAGCAAATACTGAAGAGTCTAGGAATGAGTCATTATTGCAGTGATTAATATGTAATATGCAACAATTAATTTAACCCTAACTGATGCAGTGCATAGCTTTTCATTTCTTAAACAACCATGTCAGAAGACATACCCATGTCAAGATTCATCAGGCTCAGTTTGTGAAACAGTGGTTCAGTGAGCATGAGGAATCATTTTCATGTTTGAATTGGCCTCCACAGAGTCCTGAGCTTAACCCTATTGAAAGTCTTCAGGATGTGCTGAAGATCTCAGCCAAAAATCAATGCAACTCTTGATGGAAATAAAAGTTCAGAATCAGAATGCATTTATTGTCATTGCACAGCTTTACAACGAAATTCAGTGCAGCTCCTTGTGGTAGAAGTAACACACAACAAGCAGAATATGAAACATTGTAACACAACAGCAACTTGACACAGCAGCAAAAATAGATAGATAAATAAATTAGCAGTAGAAAGTATATTTCATAATCCCGTATGTATTAAGATGTATTGCACAGGACAAATGTTGTGATGTTGCATAACATTTTCGAAACAATGGCACAAAGTAAGCACAATGTTGTCAAAGCTAAAAGCGGTCCAAATCTAAATATTAGAGTGTGTGACCTTTTTTGCACAGGCACATCCCAAAGACTTTCAACAGGGTTACAGTCAGGACTCTTTCACAGTTTGAGCCTGATTTGTCATTTTACATGGGTACTTCTTCCAACGTGGTTGTTTGAGAAATAAAAAGTCAAAACATTTCAAAAACATATTAATCACTGTAATAATGATCCAATCCTAAAATCTTAAGCATTTGCTTATTTAAATTCAGACGCCAACTTTTTTTGGGCCAGTTAATGTATTTATACTTAAGAATTTAATACTTTTATTCAGTAAGGATGCATTAAATTGATCAAAAGTGACAGTAAAGACATTTATAATGTTACAAAAGATTTCTGTTTCAAATAAATGCTGTTCTTTGGAACTTTCTATTCATCAAAGTATCCCAAAAAATATAAGTGTATCACAGATTTTCACAAAAATATTGGGCAGCACAACTGTTTCCAACATTGATAATAATCATGTTTCTTGAGCATCAAATCTGCATATTAGAATGATTTCTGAAGATCATGTGACTCTGAAGACTGGAGTAATGATGCTGAAAATTCAGTTTTGATCACAGGAATAAAATACATTTGACAATATATTCACATAGTTATTTTAAATTGTAATATTTCACAATATTAGTTTTACTGTATTTTTGGTCAAATAAATGCAGCCTCTGTGAGCAGAAGAGACTTCTTTCAAAAACAATAAAAAAATCTTGTCTAGTGAAGTCTAACGTTAGTAAAGTTTCCTTTTCATAAAAAACAGACATGTTTTAATTTTTCACCATAATTTCCTCCCTCTTTCTGACCCTTAATGATGATGCACGTTAGGAAGAAGTTTTGAGCTGTGAAAGTGACGTAAAAGTTATACTCAAAAACTCTTATCTTAAAGGGGTCATTGAGAATTTTTAACCAAACTATGTTACAGACTTTTCATTAAGACCCTAAAGAATCATATCAACTTGTGGAAAATGGGCATCCTATGACCCCTTTAAGAGATTAAGGAAAATTTGATTCTTCATGATATGAGCCCTTTGACTTAAATCCTAAAAGTCAGATTTATTTCTGTAGCGCTTTATACAACACAGATGGTTTCAAAGCAGCTTCACATGAATAAACAGAAAAATAACAGCGTTAATGTCGTAAAATAATGGAACAGATTAAATTTCAGCTGTAAAATACAAGACAGTAATGACATTAATCAGCTCAATTTAGTTCAATGTTGATTCAATTCAGTTCAATAACTGTTAATGTTGTCAATGCAGTTGAATCCGTAATATTACTGAATATTAATGGTCTTTGTCTTAACATAGGGAATGCATAAAAACCCCCACAGCACTCTGGATTCTGTCTCATCCTAAATGAAATGTCTTGACCTCATTGTCTCCAAACAGCCGCTACGTGACGCTCACAGGGACCATCACGCGTGGAAAGAAGAAAGGTCAGATGGTGGACATTCACGTCACGCTCACAGAGAGAGAGCTGCAAGAGATGGCCAGGTCAAAGGAGCG